TTAATTTTTTTTTAATTAATTTATTAATAAGGCAACTTACATCACTTCAATTTTTTTTAAGTCATTTTGTTACTCACTCGCAAGATTAAAATTAGAAAATTTAACGTTTTTCGTTAATTCGTTCAAATTTAATTAAAAAAAAACCAGAATGTCAAAATTAATTTTGATTTAAATAAAAGTCCAGATTCAAAATGATAATTGGAATTTCGTTTTCCAATTTTTCAGTCTTGCGAATGCCGAAAAAAATATCACGATTTTTCCATATAATCACTGGTATCAAACAATTATTAATTTCGTAAACACTAGTTCTAGATCGCATTTTACAAAAATAAATATTACAATTTTAATACGTAACAATATATCACAAATTTTTTACAAACTTTTTACACAAGTCAATAATTGTAAGACAGCCAAATTGCGCTCTCTTTGAAAGAAGAAAAATCGCGCAAATGCAAAATTCGCCTTCGACGTGACCATCCGAGATGATTGCAGAAATTTTTTGAGTAATAAACCAAAAACAATCTTGGTCTTGAAATTCTGTTCAAGATCAATATCCAGACCAAGACCAAGCCTAAACAAACACGGCTAAGATCAAGAGTAAGACTTATTACCAGGATTTTCACAAAATTCTCGTTGAAAATATATTGAAAGTATAAATATTTCACTTGATTATTACATGTACATTGTCAAAGAAGTCAAAATTTCGCAACGGTAAAGTCGAAAAGAAGCAGGACCATATTTCTTGTCTTTGCCATATATTTGCTCACAGAAGGAGCAGCAAAATCGGCTAATAATTAGCTGTAATACTGTAAATTCAGTATTGGTCAACTTTCACGCCCTGTGACGGAAAAACTAGCTAAGAAATCGGGGAAATCCCATTAGAACACTACCCAGAGATAACCCTTTTTTTTTCATAATTCTACAATACCCTCGGATGGCCCATCTCAAACAACAAATTCGCATTGCAGCGAATTTTCATCAGTTACACACAAGTCTTGTGTTATTATTTTTTGCTCAAAAGTCAAATATCAAAGAAAGAATACGTTTCTCTCACAATCGCCGATTACTTCCTCATTAGTTTTTGTTTGTTACACCGTTTTACACCATAATTACTCCACGACACAAATAACGTTCCAATCAATGCGTGAAGTAAAAAAAAAGAACGTTGTTTCACTGTACAGTCGTCGTCACAAGTAACACACCGCGAATTCAAAGCCTCCTCTGCGCATTTGATATTAAATTGTGCATTGGCTAAGGGATGCCGTCATTACGAGCACGCGCACTTGTCAACCACCATGCCCGGTAAGTTACCGAAAATAACGTTGTAATTTTCGTCGAAGTACAGCATAGAAATGCCGCTCATTTTCCGAGGGGCGCAGCACGGACCTTCTATGTCCGGCGACGCCATTTTCGCCAGATGCGTGTGATGCTGCTTCTGCATCGTCAAATAAGGACATCGGCCGCTGCAGTAATACGCCTCGTACTTTTTTGGGGCTATAATGAAGTCCCAACCGAAATCTTCGAAATTAATCGTCAGCGGATACCGGCAACAAACGTCCTGTATATTTTTGTCGTCGCAGTCGTAGGCAATGTTCCGTCTGGTCCGACGTTTCGGCTCCACCGTGCTGATCTCTACGAATGGCACCTGAAACCAAAGAAAACGGTTTCGTAATCACAGAACAATAGCCAGGTTACATGTAAATAAAATTGAGATATCGCTCTAAAGTTCGTCGCCCACTATTCCGACATGAATCCGGCAAGCCGTCGTGTTCTTATTATGAACAATTGCGTAAAACAGACATTATTACAGCCGACAGGTTTCGATAGAATGATACTGGTCACCGCCGGTCCACAATGCACACACTTGACCAGTTCTTTACTTTCTTTATATCCCATTCGTATTTTGACTACACGGAACGGACAAGTGTGCGACAACCTTTAATCAATGATAATATTATAAAGCTGAAGCTGAACGTGCTAATCTCAGGAACTACAGGTCCGATTTGAAAAATTCTTTCAGTGATAGATAGCCCATTTATCTAGGAAGGCTATAGGCTATATATCATTACGCTAAGACCAATAGGAGCCAATGAAGAATGTTTCAAAATCGGTTTTGTTTTTCCTTTTAAGAGCTTCCGTTCCATGCGCTACGTAAACGGTTAAAATTTCGCAAAAATCAGGTATGACAGAATTGTTCCCCTTTACAAATTTTTTAAAAAAAGTTCGCGACAGCATATGTCTATCTTTTAAGGTTGGCTCACTATAACCTCTAAGTCAAGTCTCTCTTCCAAACAAACCCTTATTTCTAATAGAACTGTACCAGTCTGCCCTGGTTTACCTTCTCAACCTAATTTACCTAGTTTTCCTACCGGTAGTACCCCCAACCGTCCGTCCAACCTTCCCATTTCGCTTCCTGAACTTTATATTCCGATTTATTCAAATTTTATTTTTTGAGTCAGGTAATGCATTTTTTTCTTTAATCGATACCTTTTGCCTATCAATCTTTGTATTCACATAAAATTTCATTTTTTGCTTGATATATTCGTAACTACACCCTGTATAATGAAGTGTATGATGAAAAAGGTTAAAATAATTTTTTTAAAAGCCATTGAAATACGTTAAAAAATGCTCTCATGATAAATTTCTTTCTTTTTTGTTTTTTAATTAATCTTAATCTGCTTTTAGGACAAAACAGTTACATTGATAGCAGTGACCCTAAGATACGCGGATTCTTTTTTTTTATATTTTAGTTTATTAAACATCTTTTAATTATATACAAATATCGTCTCCTAGCAGCTGTGTATGATCATCAAATGAATTCAGTTTTCATCAGTCCAACGATAATCTCGTCGTTTTACATAATTAAAAAAGATAATCGAGACATTATCTGTCAAATTTTCGATAAGAACATGTATATTAGGCGATACTTTCACAAGTTTACAATTGAAAACAATTTAAATTTTTAAAGCCGATAATTAATATTAAAAATATGCAAAGAGTTAAAAGATATTTAGGTAAAGGTCTAGATGATGGCCCCTACCACTGTACCATAAAAAGTTCGTACCGGTCTCACCCCCATAAAAAGATATGGGGGTTCAAAGTTAATAAATATGCCAATTTTTGACATGTAAATATTAATATAGTCATTCTTAAACAATATTCAAAGGTAAAACTAATGAAAAATACATAAAAATATTGAGAAAGTTATATAAAACATTATTTATATATCTTTATCAATAGGGTAGGTTAGGTTAGGTTATCGGGTTTTGTTCAAGTAACCACCCTCATTCAATCCCCCACCTCCACCCGCTTGAAAATATTTTTTTTATAGAATTTTATTTGAATTATAGTGTATGAAAATTGCAAAATATTCAACTTTCAACCTCCATAACTTTTTATGGGGTTTTACTAAGGTGAATACCCTCTTTCGATCCCCCCTTCCCCCACCCCCCTCTAACCCGCATTACTTTTTATGGTTGTGAGACCGCCACGAACTTTTTATGATACAGTGGTGGGGGAGACCTCCTCTTTTGATCTCCCCTACCCCCCTTCGGGGCTGGGGGCCATCATCTAGACATTTACCGATATTTAATTTAAAACAATTCATTTCAGTACATTTGCTAGAGAAATATAAATTTATCCAATGTACCAGTAATAAAAATAGTTTTTTCGAACACTCTGTAGATGTGTCATGCATGAGAAACACATGAGCGATTTTTTATTGCACGCGCTCTACAAAACAACACAAATGCAATCATGCAGCCGACGATATTTTTAATAACAATTGTAAATAATAAATAGTTTGTTTTGGAGAGAGATCGACTCCGAGCTAATTTTGTGTTCATGTGTTATTTTTGCTGTTTCAAGTGGAAAATCGCTCCGACCTTTCAACACGCCTTGCGATTGGACGAATTCCACAAATGCATACCGTTGCAACATTTTCGGTCGATAAAATTGACAGACAAAATTTCTATTTATCTCGATTGCGTAATCACAACGATCCGATATCGGTCACAGACGCCAATATGATTTTCAATCGGTCGAAACCAAACACAGGCAATCGGTCGCCGCAATGTATCTAACAATTGTTTCGTCTACCGCAATTTTGTATTCTTTTAATTACCGAAAAGCATTTAACAAAAAGAGGAGAACAAAAAAAATATTTAGCTGTTTCTAATACCTAATTTCACAATTTCATCCATTACGTATTCCGATGAACATCAAGCTAGCCATATTATATTATTATTATAAAGTGCATTATAATTTGTCGCTAAATAGTTACCAAATTAAAAAATTTGTTGATCTAGCTGACCAGTTAATTACTGGACTAGCTGACACTACACATGACATCTCCAAATAATGATGGCATAGAAAAATACTACAAGGGCTATAATTTGTCGCAAATTTGTCACCGAAGGATTATGGTTTTAGTAATTTTAAAGTCCTGTCTGTAGCTGAACAGCGAAAAACGATTGGAGGGCCGTCAATTTGGCATTTCACAATCCGAAGTATCATAGAAAAGTATTATAAGAACCATAGTTTGTCGTTAATTAGATAGCATTTCTTTACAATATTTTTATTCCGGGTTCAGTAATAGATTCCAACTTGACGATTTTCCAATCGTTTTTCGCAGATCAGCTTGAGGCTGAAATTGCGATAAAATGGGTACATCTTTCAGCGACAAATTTGTGACAAATCACCCTTACAGTGCTACAATTTGTCGCAAGGTGTTGTGCCAGTTTGACGGCTTTCCAATCGTTTTTCGTTTATCAGTTCGAGGCTGGAGTTGTGACAAAATGGGTACATCTTTCAGCGACAAATTTGCGACAAATCATAACCCTTACAGTGCTACAATTTGTCGCAAGGTGTTGTGCCAGTTTGACGGCTTTCCAATCGTTTTTCGTTTATCAGTTCGAGGCTGGAGTCGCGACAAAATGGGTAAAAATATTATCTTTCAGCGACAAATTTGCGACAAATCATAACCCTTACAGTGCTACAATTTGTCGCAAGGTGTTGTGCCAGTTTGACGGCTTTCCAATCGTTTTTCGTTTATCAGTTCGAGGCTGGAGTCGCGACAAAATGGGTAAAAATATTATCTTTCAGCGACAAATTTGCGACAAATCATAACCCTTACAGTGCTACAATTTGTCGCAAGGTGTTGTGCCAGTTTGACGGCTTTCCAATCGTTTTTCGTTTATCAGTTCGAGGCTGGAGTCGCGACAAAATGGGTAAAAATATTATCTTTCAGCGACAAATTTGCGACAAATCATAACCCTTACAGTGCTACAATTTGTCGCAAGGTGTTGTGCCAGTTTGACGGCTTTCCAATCGTTTTTCGTTTATCAGTTCGAGGCTGGAGTCGCGACAAAATGGGTAAAAATATTATCTTTCAGCGACAAATTTGCGACAAATCATAACCCTTACAGTGCTACAATTTGTCGCAAGGTGTTGTGCCAGTTTGACGGCTTTCCAATCGTTTTTCGTTTATCAGTTCGAGGCTGGAGTCGCGACAAAATGGGTAAAAATATTATCTTTCAGCGACAAATTTGCGACAAATCATAACCCTTACAGTGCTACAATTTGTCGCAAGGTGTTGTGCCAGTTTGACGGCTTTCCAATCGTTTTTCGTTTATCAGTTCGAGGCTGGAGTCGCGACAAAATGGGTAAAAATATTATCTTTCAGCGACAAATTTGCGACAAATCATAACCCTTACAGTGCTACAATTTGTCGCAAGGTGTTGTGCCAGTTTGACGGCTTTCCAATCGTTTTTCGTTTATCAGTTCGAGGCTGGAGTCGCGACAAAATGGGTAAAAATATTATCTTTCAGCGACAAATTTGCGACAAATCATAACCCTTACAGTGCTACAATTTGTCGCAAGGTGTTGTGCCAGTTTGACGGCTTTCCAATCGTTTTTCGTTTATCAGTTCGAGGCTGGAGTCGCGACAAAATTGGTAAAAATATTATCTTTAAGCGACAAATTTGCGACAATTTGTCGGAATGTGTTGTGTCAGCTGTTCAGTCGTTTTTTGCTGGACAACTGGAATACAAACTAGCGACAAAATGGGTAAAAGTACCGACTTCTAACGAAAAACAAATGACAAAATCATAGTATTTCTCTACGTCATCTCTATTTTGAGATACGCCTTGTGCAGTACCAGTTCAATATCAAGGTAGCATTTCGTTTATTTTGCAGTAACAACCTGGAGCGGATTTGGTAAGAAGTTAGCGACAAATTATAGTGCAGATTAGAAATAAGTGATAAAACTTTGTCGTATTTGCTTGAAATATTTCGTATTACATTCGACTCCTTATGGGATTCTGCACCTTCCTTTCCTTCAAATTTTTTTTAATCAAACAAATTTTTTCTTACATTTCCATTGACGCTTTCCAACGGGGTCTTCCTCTTGTTAATCGTCGCATTAACAATGAACCCATAATTATCCCGTGCACTTTTAAACCATTCGGAAACCATGGCGGTAACGTCAATCTTGATCCATTCGCCGTGGCCAAGGGGTTGGTTTATTCGTCGGGATGCCACCCTGACGGTTCCGGGAATGTCCGGCCGGTCAGGATTTTTATACACCTTATACACCTCAAGTATCATGATAGGTTGCGGCCGCTTGTCCACCCCCTTTACGAACACGAAGAGGGTGGCGTTCGCCACCTGATACTTGGTCACCCCATCCGAAAACGAAAAATGAAGGATGTCATGTCCATGCCAACTATGCCTGAGTCGTGGATCTGGAAAGAAAAAATAAACAAATGAAATCTAATTTTCCATCAAGAAATTACTGTTAATTTATTTGTTTATTGTAGAAATTGGGTTCCGAAAAGAAAAGGTTCTAATTATTTCTTGGGCCAATTACAATGTTTCAAACTGTTATCTGATGTTATCTAGAGGGCTGGTAAAGAAAAATGCACTTGAGGGTGCCGCCAAAATTTTGATCACTTTTAATGCTTCAATTCTTTTAGTTTTTCACTATTTCATATTTAAATTATGCATTTGCATATACGTACCAATTGTTACACATAGGAATAAGTATGTTTACAAACAATTTAAAAATGTGCATGTTTCGAGAATAAGAACAACGTCCGCACGGTCTATATTCTAAAAATAACTTCCTAACAAACACACGTACGCACATTTGTTGTTATTGCTTTCGTACGCCTGTCCGTGTGTGAATGATAAGTGCATTTAAAATGGCGCCATTGCATACCAGCCGAGGCAACGTCTAATAAGCATTTTCTTATCAGTGATGTTGTACAACAATTTGTTACAATGCAACTAATTATGTAAAACATGCACTTTAGAAAATAGTTTTCATTTTATCGACAGTCTTGCGATAATTGACGTATAAATCCTGGTCATACGCACGGGAATGTACGGACGGAGGGTGAAATCACGCAGGGGATGATGATGGGTGATACCTATTACAGTGGTGCCTAGATATTATTGGCTCTAATTCAGCTGCTGAGTTATACTTTAACAGTAATTGACGAATGCGTGTGCCTAGTTCGGATAGTCCATAAAGTGTAAGCGCTTCCTAGGTTACCATTTTCCCTTTGACAGTTCCACCCCTATATTATTCCCAAGTCTATGATCTAGGCAAGTAGCTTTAGTTCAAGTTGATAACATGTTTTCGAGCAAAAAATATTTTAGGATCTTATCATCATCGCCATAATCATAAGGTCGTCAGTCCTAAGACTGGTTGGACACGCACCTGTACTCCTTGTACTCCTTCCTATCCAGAGCTAATCTTCGCATTTCCCTAAAACTAGAACATCCCACATCCTTAGCTTTTTGCGAACAGTAACCTAATCTAGGGCTACCACTACCCCTCCTAACTCCTGTTTCTGCCTCTAATATGTCTCTGACTAGACCTTCATGCCTGAGAAGGTGTCCTACCAACTTATCTCGCCTATTTCTTATTGACTTCCATAGAGTCNATACTCATTTAATAACCTTTTTCGATTTTTTAAATTAACCGTTCGCGAGCATAGAAGTGACTTCTTTTTATTGAAGGCGACTCGACCCTGCGCTATCCTCTGCTTTATATACCTACTACTCCTTCCATCCTGACTTATCTGACTTCCTAGATACCTAAAATCGGCCACTTCTAATTTTTCGTATCCTACCTTTATATTCGCACATTCCCTACTTTTCCTTCCCTTGCATATCAGTATTTTTGTTTTACTTTATTTTCATATAGTGCTGTTTTGTCAATACCGCTTCCATTTTTTTTAAAGCTATCTCTAACTCCTTGCTAGATGCTAATACTGCTATATCATCTGCAAATCTAAGCATACTAATCTTTTGCCCTTGCACATCTATCTCTACAGTTTTACTGTCTTTAATGATGTTGATCGCGTCTTCGATGTATAGATTAAAAAGTATCGGTGACAGTGTACATCCCTGTCTGACATCCCTTCCTAATATCTACTTCTCTACGTTGCAGCCCCAGCTCTACAGCTGCCTGTTGCTCTTTATACAAACTATGCATCACTCTTCTATCTCTGTAACTCATCCCTACATTTTTAAGTATACTTAACATCTTGTCCCATTGAACATTGTCAAAAGCTTTTTCCAAATCTACTACTCTTAAGAATCTTATAAGTCTATTTAAATTCTTTATAATTTCCCTCTTGATTTCAGAAGACGTCGGACTCTTCTTAGAGAAAATAGGAGATCAAGGACTAGTGGATTCTTCTTCCTTCAATACAACAGCCGGTAAGTTTTTCATTAATTGTTCCTTATTTTGTTTCACTTTTAACTGATTTTCTACTACAACTTGCGCCATATGATTTTGCGAGTACTGTACACGCTAACCCCCACAAACAAATATATTAACCCCGCCAAGGTTTTCCGCGGCAGTCACTTCCGATATAAATTTCAACTGTTGTACGAATAAATTAAGCATTTGTTTCCGTATTGTTTCAAACAATTATAAACGAACGAACGGTCGGAAACTTTAAACGAGCTAGTAAAATTCCCGTATTAACACAAAATTGCGTGATAATGCTAATATAAATTACTTGGACAATAAAACGGTTATTTATGTTCTACGTACTCTGTACGGAGGTAACTGAAAATGTGAGTACTTTTGTTCTAATTTACAGATGTCAGGAATGACTTGTAGTATCTTTATAAAAAATGTCATGTTTAAAAGAAAGACCGAACCCTTATTACGTATTCACAGTTTAACATAGAAATATTTTCTTTTTGGGGTTCACCATCTCAAAACAAAGAACAAAACCTTTGTTACGAGATCGAATTTGGAGTAGAATTTTTTTGTTTTTACATCATTATAAATATCCTTTTTGGGGTTCCACACCTCAAAAGATTAAATGAAACCGTTGTTATGAAATCGCACTTTGACTCTAAAAGATTTTATTTATTTCTATATCTTTATACATAATTATTCTGTTTGGGGTTCCGGACCCCAAAGAGACGAACGAAACCGTTACCACGAGATTACAGTTTAACATAAATAGTTTCCTTCTGTACCATTGCAAATGTTTGTCCTTTTTGGGGTTCCCCCATTTCAAAACAAAGAACTATACCATTACTACGAGATCAAGTTTGGAGTAGAAATTCTTCGTTTTACATTATTATAAATATTTGTTCTTTTTGGAATTCCACACCTCAAAAGGTTGAATGAAACCCTTATTATGACTGTGACTGACATATTCTCTTACTGTCTATATCTTTATAAATGTGTCATTTAAATTTTTGAGAAAAAGGGAAATACAGTTTTCCAATTACAACCTTTACTTATCCCAGCATTAAAAGAATTAGGATTTTCTAAATAATTTCAAAAAACTGCCTTTGACAAGCGCAGATTCAAAATGAACAGTTTTAAATTAAAGTTCTAATAATTCTTGAATTAAAATCTTTCTGATGGCACCCCGCAAGCCTACATTCGCAAAAGAACTACTATAGAATTTCATCCCCTTATGTTGACGAAGGTGCTGCATGCAAATTCTTAATTAACTTCAAAAAATTGCAATTGATTATATTATCGATTATGGTTGGTGATATTACCGTCCAGTCTAATCAATAAAAAATCACTTTTATATGATTGAAAATTGACTACCGATAAATCAGTATTTAGATTTAATTTTAAATTATTATATCTATTGTTCTAAATGCTGCATTACTTTTGTCGAAGACGGTGGTTTCGCGGCTCAAATCTGTTAAGGGTCTATTGCCATAGGGAGTGATTTACACGAATAATAATAATAACATCAATTACTTTAACAAGTCGCTAAATACATGTGGATTGCACGAATACGTGGTATACGCGTTGTTGCATACGTGTCTACAAAGTATGTACATGCATGAAGTGCAGCAATTACCTTGAACCTTAAGAAAGATCGATTGAACAAGGTTGAGATTAAAGATAAAAACGCGAAAGTCAAGACTCCAACTGTTTTCACTTACTTGTGGCGAACAATATTGGATGTTCATCGAGTTAACGTTACCACTGAAAAAATTCAAGGCACGCAAAGTGGATTAGTCGTCTTAAATTTGTCATAAAAAAAGAAAATTGTGGTGATTGTTTGTTACTTTTTTGGTCATCAATGTTCACGAATTCTTATTTCTGGTTCATTATTCAATATCATAAAGTCGTCAGTCCTAAAATTGATTCGACACGCATCTCCACAATTTTCTATCCTGACGTAATCTTCGCATTTCCTTAAAACTAGAACATCCCACATCCTTAACTAATATTTGCAAACAGTAATCTAATCTATGTCTACCTCTCCTATTTCTACTTCTAACTACCCCCTAATGTCTGAATAGTGTCCCACGAACCTATCTCGTTTTATTTTCCGATGCATACCCTTTTTGTTAATACCGATTCCATTTTACTTAAGGCAATCTCTAACTCCTGCATCTCTGCAAATCTAAGCATAGTAATCCTCTGTCCCTGTATATTTAATCCTAAAGTTGTCCTGTCTTCGAAAAACAAACGCGACAACCTTTTTTCTTTCACGACAAATTAATCTACTTCTTGAAGTGGTAGGTAATGCTAACTTCATTAATAAGGCCTGTAAAAAAGTCAGTGGTGCTAAATTCCTTGTTAAAAAATTAGTGGTGGTTTTGATTGGAGGGTAAGGTACATAGCCAAAAGTGGTTTTAGGTTCTTAAATACTTCTGGAAAAACTATTCCTTACATGTTTATTGTTGTATTCTTTCGAGGATCTAGCTATTACACCTTTATAGAAGAATGCTTAAAATAAATCAATAACTTTAAATATTACTAGCATAGTAAGATGCCTTGCTATTACAAACAAGAGTATCATTAAAATCATTATAATTTTCTAGTTGTTACCAAATTTTTTAATGATATAGAAGCCTAAATGTCACAGGCGAGAAGACTGAAATATTGTCCTTTTAGTTTAGGACCTTTTGGTACAAGATTGGGACGAAAGTTACAGTAACATTAATGATAATTTTGTCTGCAATGACAAGAAATCTTAAAGATGTTAAATCTTTTTTTAGTCGGGAAATCTTAGTAATCTGACAAAATACTTAAGAGTCAAAGGTCGATGAATACTATCAGGTACAAATGGTACCGTTTTTGCGTCATGTGCAAACAGGTGGCAATATTTCGGAAAAATTCTGATAACGGTACGGTCCTGCGTTTGCATCTTTTTCTATTGGCTGATCAATTTAAAAGTGCAACGCTCCCATTTGACCTTACGGCGAACCGTCAAAATTACAAGTGCATAATTCTGCATCGTACGTGTACACATATATATATAAAAAAACAAAAAAAATGTTGTGTGTATGTGTGTGTGTGTGTACGTGTGAAACAATGGACTGTCCAAATGTAATAAACTGAATTATTATTATTGTTGCCTCAACATCACGAAGGACCCGGTCCCCTCTGCTGCAAGGACAAAACGTATTGTGACCCACTGTGGTCAATTTTCATGGTTCTTAATGCACCAACGCGGTGAACACGTTAACCAAGGCAGCCACAAAAATTCATTAACTTTTTCTTGAAAACAAACAGAGAATTATTACTATGTATGATACAAGACAATATGAACACTCTGTGTATATGTTTTCCAAAGAAAATAGACTTAGTAATGTAAATGCGTTGAGGGGGAAGGTTACTTTATACATAAAAATTAATAATATGATTTATAAATTAGTTATCATTCGGGAATGTTCTGGAATCTTGTAGAAAATTCTAAAACATTCTTAAATCCTGTATAGATGTAGGGCATTCAAGAGAAACTTGCGACATTTTGTAACGATCCGACCAGACTCAAATCGAAACTCAATTAACACCTTTACTGACTCTTCTGTACGGAGTGCTTTGGGCCGATAGTGTTTTAACCCCCGCATCTTTGAAACCAACCCTTACAGCTAAAAGCGCAAACCTTCTCCCTGGACGGGGGACGAAAGACTATCATACCACAAAGACACGCGCAGGCAAAATATAAGCCAGATCAGGAAATATTAATTATCATTCGGGAAAGTTCTGGAATCTTCTAGAAAATTCTAAAATATTTTTGAATCCTATAAATGTAGGAATAATCTTAAGCTAATATTGGAACCTTTACTGACCGTCTACGTAGAGTCCTTTGGGGCGATACTGTTTTATGGTGGGAGAGTAGGGGGTTGAAGATATAACCCCCATAAATCTGTAAGATTCGGTTGCTTACTTTTATTGTACATATGGATATTGATTTGACAAATTTTGAAGATCTGTTTTGGAAAGTTAAAATGCAAAAATTAGTTTTATCACATAATTTGATGATATCAAATCATAATCCAAATAAACCTAATCATGATTATACAAATTTTTAATTGATATGATTTTGTAGTTGAAAATTAATTATTAAAAAATATAGTATACGACTCTTTAATTTTTAGGGTAGGATCATGACTCCCCAAAACTGCTACATCAATTTTAATGAAGTATCATAGGCTTAAAGGTTTTACAAATGCTTTTGTACACATTCCCTTATTAAATATCTACAAAATATAATTCAATCCTTGAATAGTTTTGTAGTAATCAAACGTTTCCTAAACAAAATTGTAACAATTAACAAATTTCAGTTTTACTCTCCTATATTAGAACGATTAATAACAACATAATAACAAACAAAAATTACTCCATAGTGCGACTATTTGCAGGCTACCCAACGAACTACTGTGTATGCTCAATAATATAAGATGGAATCCGATTGTGGTACCCCCCCGTTTTTACTACATTTAAAATTAATAAGAGAAACTGATGATGCAATAAATTTTCTTGATACTCTATGAAAATGATTACACACTAAGCGACTTTAAGTTTTTTTTTAAGTCAAAAGTTCACCGCAGGAATTTTATCAAATTAACGCACAAATGATTTAATTGTTATTAATTAAAGAAAACAATTACATAAATATTTGCTATCTTATGGAATATACAATATAAATTATTACTTAAAATATTCGAAAATTTTTACACTTTAATAATTTTTGGGGGTGCTGCAGCATTTAATATTAAGGGTAACTAGTACACACTAGCAAAAACATACTTATTTTTCTCTATCAAGTTTTTGTACCCTAATTAAATATTTTTTTAAATTTTTCGTTAAAGTTTAAATTTAACATTTCCTTCTTTCTCGATAATAAGTCGAGTGAATGTGTACGTTTGGTAAGGGTTTGATATCTTTCCCCTTGCACTCTGCATCAATTTGGGCCCCATATGGGACAGTTGGC